GTTTCATAACCCACTGCTTTCATAACCAGCTCCTCCAACACCCAACAACCAGGCTCGTGTGGCTTGTCCTCGGCTCGTGTGGCTTGTCCTCGGCTCGTGTGGCTTGTCCTCGGCTTGTGTGGCTTGTCCTCGGCTTGTGCCATGTCTGAAATCCTCTGATGCTCTTGGAATTGTCCCTCGGAGCCACAGCAGCCTCGGAGCTGTGCCTGCCTCACAGCTCCCCTCCCTCTGCACCCCAAGAGCAGGGTCTCCCTGCTCGAAACAGGCAGGAAATCCTCCTGCAGGTTTTTCCCTGCAATAATTGGGAACTAATTTTTGTGGACCCCCTTCCCGGATGGACGGGACAACCCTTGGGGTGCGGGGGAAGAGAGGGAGGAGCGGCTGAAGGGGTGGCAGGATCAGCCTTTGGCAGGCTGGGAGAGCTGGGAGGGTCACCTGGAGAAGAGAAGGCTCCAGGGAGACCTGAGAGCCCCTTCCAGGGCCTAAAGGAGCTCCAGGAGAGCAGGAGAGGGACTTTGGATAAGGGATGGAGGGACAGGACACAGGGAATGGCTTCCCACTGCCAGAGGGCAGGGACCTGGGACAAGGACATTGTGGCATGAGGGTACAGGGTGAGGCTGCCATGGAGGCACCCCAGGGATTCGGCAGCTCAGAGCCCCCAGGAGGGTGTTGGGGTGTCCTGGGGCTTCCAAACCCATCCCAGCGCCCGCCCCATCCCACAGGTGCGGATCTGGGAGATTCCCGAGGGGGGGCTGAAGAGGAACATGACGGAGGCCGTGCTGGAGCTCTACGGGCACAGCCGGCGCGTGGGGCTGGTCGAGTGGCACCCGACCACCAACAACATCCTCTTCAGTGCTGGCTATGACTACAAGGTGAGTCCTGCCCGGGAATGCCCTTGGGAAGGCCTGGAGAAGAGGAGGCTCAGGGGAGACCTCCTCACTCTCTACAACTCCTGACAGGAGGGGGGAGCCGGGGGGGGGTTGGTCTCTTCTCCCAGGTATTAGCAAGACAAGAGGGCTGGGTCTTCAGCTGTGCCAGGGGAGGTTTAGGTTAGGCATCAGAAAGAATTTCTTTCCAGAGAGGGTGCTCAGCCATTGGAATGGGCTGCCCAGGGAGGGGGTGGATTCTCCATCCCTGGAGGTGTTTAAGGACAGACTGGATGTGGCATCAGTGCCATGGGCTGGGAACCACGGCG